CTTTATCCGGAGGGCCTTATCGATATCTACTAGGCTAACTACGTAGACCGCTATATTAGCCGCTGCCCGGCCTTACCCCTACTCTACCCGTTATATAGTTCCTACGAAGATAGAGGTAAGGTCTTCTTATACTAAGTATAAAGCTCGTATGCTTAGTCCTATGCCTATAGAACCGTTATTATAGTAGACCTACTATTACGTAGGCCTAAACTATAGCTTCCTTTAATATAGAACTAAGTATAACTCTATATATAATAACTAGGGTTTCCTAAGGATTAAGGGAAACTCTAGTTAAGGGATTATATAGGCTATAATAAGCTTATAGTAACTATTAACCTCTATAGCTAGCTATATAATACCCTTAATTACTATACCCTCTATTATACTTAAGGCGCCCTTTACTTACCTTAGGGCGATCTTTTTTACTAGCACTTATATCTCTTATATAAGCGCCTCGTTAACTATAGCGTAGTACTAGTAGCCCTTATCTATAAGGGCGGTAATAGGTAAGGAGTTATTAATTATAACCTATATTAAAGTAAGCTCCTTTTTTATATAGGCAGATAATTCTTCTTTCTCTTTTACTAGTACCAGTAATTAAGGCTCTAGAGCCCGTCTTTACTCTAGAGCTACTCTTTTTCCTCTAAGCCTAAGGGGGTAGAGACCTTTTTATCGTCTAAGGTAAGGAGCGGTTCTATCTTCGCTACTTAAACTATTATAGGCCGCTTAGCTAAAAAGAAAGGGCATTTTAATATAAAGTACGTAGATACTCTATAACGTAGGTAGCGGCCGTTAGCCTTCCTTTTCCCGATTTCCTCGCTCGTTACCTACTTCGCCCGCTACTTAAAGTATAGGGCGGTATAGGGGGTAGTCGATAGCGTCTTCTTACCGCGTTTAGCCCGGTCCGTATAGGTAGCTAATATTAGGGTATCCTTATCTATATTAATAGCCGGTTATTTATCTTATAAAGGGGCGGTAATCCCGTCGCCGTTATATAGCGTGCGCTTATAGAGCTTCTAAAAACGCGGCGTCTACTTATAGCCCTAAGCTACCTTTATTAACCGGCTTATATACTCGCTATAGTTAGTAGGTATAATTATAGAGATAAGTAGCTCCCGTAAAGCTAGCGTAATCGAATTCTATAGCTATATAAGCTTCGCGCTATCTTCTTATACTATAGTCCCCGCTACCTATAAGAGCGTCTCTTTAAAATCGGGAAGGAATTCGCTAAAGGTTTATCTATCTCTCTACTTAAGGGTTTATAGCCTATCTTACGCCTTCTCCCGCTCCTATATATTACCGAACGTATATATAAGGTATTAAAAGAAGTCTTATAGGTCGCGTTTATCCCCTAGGCCGCCCTTATCCTAGAATCCGGAGATCTACTATATCTAGGGCTCCGGCAGTATATAAAGGAGCGAATACCACGCTATATCGCGATAGCTATTTAGGCCCTATTTCTCGTCGGTTATAAACTTCGTCTATAGCCGGCTAAGGAAGAAGTAAAAGGACTTTAGCTTACCGTCCTAAGTCGGCTAAGGGAGCGGCTTCCTCGTCGGTAGTATCGCCGCTATAACCGGCGTTACGGGGGTCGTAGGGGTTAAAGCTAGTCTCGTAGATAGCTCCCTTAGTATAGCGAGAACCTTATCCTTCTCGCTAGCCGTCGCGCTTTTAATCGCTTCTAGGATAGCTACGATACTTCCTATCCGTCTAAGGAGGGGCGGAGTACTTCCTCGAGGGGGAGGCGCCCTCTCCGGAGAGATATCTATTAGATCTATTAATTAATAGCTTATACTATCACGGAGTAGGCAAAGGCGTGCGCGTAGGTACCGTCTATAGAATAATATTAATAAGCTATATAGAGCTCTCCTATACGCGGCTAGCCTATATATATACGTATAGGATCTAGCCCTTTATACGTAACTATATAGCTTAGGCTATAGCCTAAGCCTATAACCTATAATAGTTAAAGACTCTTATACTATTCGGCCTAAGTTCGGGTCGAGCTCTACCTATTTATAGGTCTACTTTAGCTTAACTTTAGTATGGTCGCTATAGTATAACCTTAGCCTTTTATAGGCGTAGCCTATAATAGTAGCTTTATATTATAAAGGTATTCCTTATAGTAACTCTTATAGTTACCTAAGGTAGTAGAAAAAGCTCTTTATTATATAGAGGTTAGCTTAAAAAAGAGGGTAGCTCCCTTTATAAATTCTATTACTTAAAGATAAAGAGGGGGCTTATAAGGGTCCTCCTTATTAAAGAAGACTAAATTATAAATAGTCTTATCTACTTAAGCTTATAGCTCCTTTACTTACTTATCTTAATCTTAAGGCTTTATAAGAATCGTTTTATAGACTATAAGGGTAGTAGAGTTATTTTTTAATATTATTATAAAAGAGGGTAGGAAAGTTAGTTAAGAATTAGCTTTTTTAGTAAGAGGGGTAAAAGGGAGCTATTAGGGATATAAGAAAGGTGCCTTTTATAGTAGCTAGAAGGCATAAGAATTCTATTCCTCCTAAGCTTATAACTCTTATAAAGAGAGATATAAGAAGTATATAAAAATATATAAAGGTAAAAGGGGAAGTAAGGGGTCGGATAGGTAGGGCTAAGTTATTTAATTCTTATAAGGGTAGTAGCCATAGTAAGGGTTTAATTATTATATTACGTTAATTATCCTTCTTTCTCTTATTTAACGCCCCTCTTTATATCGCTCTAGTATCTTAATTAATAAAGAAGATCCTACTTAAAGAAGCTACTAATATCCTCTTAACTACTAAGCTTTTTACTAATTTTTCCCCTTTATTCTAACCGCTCTAAGTATATCTATCTTATCTCTTACTATTACTATAGGAAGCTATCGCTACTTTTAATTCCCTTCTTACCCCTACCCTCCTTTTTATGCCTCTTTTTAGCTCCTTCTTCCTTCTTTTATACTAGTGCTTTTTAGCTTCCTAGGTCCCTCTTACTAAGGGATATCTCTAAGAATATAAATTAAGCTACGCTTTATAATATTTATAGGTCGAGGTTAACTTATCCTTTTTCTTATTTCTTTTATCTTTTATTCTACTAAATATAAATTTTAGGATAATAAAAATTAAAGGGAATTAAAATTACTACTATATATTATATACTAGTCCGTTAGTATAAAGCTAGTACTTAACCTTACTATTTACCTAGATTAAGTATAGATTTAATATATAACTAAATAAACTAGCTACTAAATATACTTAAATATATTATATAAACTAGCTACTATACGTTATTACGTATATTAAATATAGACTAGCTATTAGTTTTATAAGTTAAAGTAAGAGTAGTAATAACTATATATATTCTTCTCTACCTACTTAAGACTTAATAGGTTCTCTATCTTTTATATATACTATAGCGATCGTAAGACCTTACTTAGGGATTTAACTAAGTAATATCTTAACCTTACGGTTATAAAATATTAGTATAGTATATCTAGCGATATTTCCTAGTACTTTCCCTAGGTAGGTATAGGTATTTCCTTATAATTTCCTTGCTATAATCTTATTATAACCTTTTAAGAAAATACTAATATAATCCCTATAAAGCTATTACTACTTAGGAAATCTTAGTATACTCCTTATATATTATATTTATAAGGGGAAGTCTATAAAATATCTATATAATCTACTAGGTTATTATTTCTAGGATTTCTAGGTAATTTCTTAGAGTTTACTTAGTAGCTTCTAGGTTCCTCCTTTTATAAGGATAAGGAGTTAGTAGTAACTTCCTTAAGCTAGGTAGATATCGTTATAGGTACCTAGATTATCGATTATAAGGTATCTTATAATACTAAGTTTAGGTCGAGCTCTACCTATATATAGGCCTACCTTAGCTTAAATTTAGCGCCGTCGCTATAATATAACCTTACCCCTTTATAAGTATAGCTTATAATAGTATACTAAAGTATCTTTCTTAATAAGTTCTTAGTAAAAGCACCTTATTTAAAAGAACTTTTAATTAATTTTAGAAAAGTCGGATTAAGCTAGTTAAATATACTAGCTAAGCTATATATTATAAACTAGAGCTATAGTTAAAAGAGAGCTAAGGTAGAAAAGAAATAAGTAAAATAAGTATATAATAAGTAATATTATATATAATAAATAGTTTAACTTTAATACTAGTATTAACTCTAGTAATATACTAAGTTCTTACTCTTATCTTATTTATACTTATCGCGAAGCGTGGCCTAATTTCGCAGTTCTCGGAGATATCCCTTAGCACGAGGGACCTAGGAAGCTAGAAAATAGGTTTTAAGGAAGGAGCTAAAAAGAGGTATAGAAAGGAGGGTAGGGGCAAGAGGGGAAGCAGAAGTAGCGATAGCTTCCTATAGAGGTAGCGAGGGATAAGACGGATATACCGGCAATGGCTAGAAGGGAGGGGGAAAAACCGGCAAAAAGCTCGGTAGTCGAAAGGATATTAGTGGCTTCTTTAAGCAGGATCTTCTTTGTCAATTAAGAGGCTAGATAGGTATAAAGAGGGGCGTTGGATAGAGGAAAGAAGGACAATTAAGGCAATATAACAATCACTCCCTTGCCGCAATTGCTGCTCCCGCACGAATCAAATCTCTCTGCCCTGCCTATCCGACCCCTTACTTCTAATTTCACATTCATGCATTTTTATATACTTCTCGTATCTCTCTTCGCGAGAATACTACTAGCCTTATAATTTAAAAAAAATTAAATAGAGTTTTATAAAATTAAATAAAAATAGTTCTACTTAAAGTACTTTTATAAGGAACTCCCTAAGAGAAGCACTTTAGTATATTATATCTATCTAAACCTATATACTAGCTAACTTAGCCCTTAATTTAAAACGAATATTTAAAAACTTAGCCTAGGCTATCCCTTTAAATATTAACGTATCTTAAGAAAAATCTAATAATTTTAATAGCATAGCTTTGCTATCCCTACGGGATTAGAATAAAGCTACCTACCTGATTGTCTCTTAGCTACCTAAAGCCCTTCTCATGCTGCTTCGTTCTCACAAGATTGTCCATTAAAGTTAATTGCCTTCTGGTGCTGGTAGTCAACATAAACTTGTACCGTGGCAGGACCTAGCTGCATATTAGGGCCTAATCCGTCTTCGTCATGGGTGCCTTTCCCAAAGGCATTTTCACCTTGCTCGGAGGCATCTTTTCCTTCCTTGAGGGATTTGTCGCCCGCCTGTTTAGAAAACAGAGTGGAACAGATTCGCGCGTCGGCGGGATGCTGATCGCAAGGGGTTCCCTTGCACGCTTGAAGGCCTTGGACGGCAAATCCGTGGTCTGTGGGCACAAGGGACGAGACATCGATACCAGAATGGCCGCCGTTGTCCTTGCTGGCAAAGTCGAACTCGAACCAAGTCGTAGCGAGCAGGCCCTGCGTATTTGCTTGGCCATCTGGAGCGCCAGGTGACCACCTAGGAACAGATCCAGCGGCGCACCCGCATATACCCTGGGTATCAGCCTGAAAGGCGACGTGCTTGGTCTCGCCCTTGGCCAGGTGGAAACTTAGGACTTGAGTTTGGGGCCAGCCAACTAAGACAACTTTGTGTCCAGTTTCATTAAATCCAATTTTAAGACCGCAGACGCAATGTTGACAATCTTTACCGGCATTCATTATATTTGCGGTGTATTCGTATTTGCCGATAATGTCCTTTGCGACGAGTCTCATGTTGGAGCCATATTTGCCTGGGCAGCCAATGTTGCCGACATAGCCTATCTTCTCCCGAGACGCGCGCCGCTTGCTTAATTTCGGATCGACGCAGAAGTCCTCGAAAGCCTGGAGAACGGGGCTGTCTTCGAGCTGAGAGCAGCTGTTAGAATTGGAACTGGGCTCAGGACGCGGCTGCCCTTCGGTCGGGGCAAGATCGTGCCGCTCCTTGGACGAGACAGGATCTTGCCGAGCAGAATCAGACTCGGCAACCGACACGGTAGTGGCAGCCGGCGTGGTAATGGGCTGGGATTCAATAAGTGGTGCGGGAGCAAGCGGTGCGGGAGGTTGCGTTTCTGCCTTTATAGACTTTAGGAATATGTTGTGCTTGTGGTGCAGTTCGAACCTAGCGTGCACGCCCGGATACGCGCCGGCGCCAAGCAGGACGGCAAGGAGAGCTTTCGAGGACAGCTTCATGGTGGACTGACATGTATGTACACACTGTCCGTGCCTGTCGAAAAAGAGAGAAAGTGCTGGGAACTGTCTGCAGGGGCGAGTGTAAGTTGTTGGACGGGTTCGAGCCCGGTAAGGATCGAGCGAGAGAAGGCAGAAATGGTTTATGAGCGTGGGGAGCGATGTCAAATCGACACGTTGGATTTCGCGAGAAGCCTGTGATGGTTTATAAAAGGAGAGTGTGTATAGTATGCACTAACTGACTGGATGATGAGAGAGGGAGGAAAAGGGAGAGAATGGAGGGAAAGAGAAAGGAGGGAATGCAGAAGGGAAAGTGAACAGCAGGGCTAAAGCCGGTACTCGGTGCGCGGCCTGGATCGCATAAAGTAATAAAAGCGTCAAATTAAACGAAGGCCCTGCGTCGGGTCCCTAAATGCGTATGCCTCCGACGCGGGAAAGGAGACTACTTCCGGCTATACTATAATTAATAGGGCTTAACTATAGTCCCTTCAGGCTTGGCTGCAGTCCACTCTTTCCTTACATACGCTTATAAGTCACATTGCCGCCCATCCTTGGTATCTTGCACCTCACGAGGCACGCCGGAGAGGCACCAAGATGAAACCAGGTCCAGGACGCATTAAACAATAGTAGACTCGTCCAGCTCTGTCAATTCCCGCGATTTGGGCCGACAGTCGCAGACACGTTTAAGGCGGCGCCGAAGTGTCGTGCCACTGACCGAGCAGATGTTCCTGAGTGGTAAGAGGTGAGCTAGTTGAGGTTTTATGCCCGAAGGGCGAGAAACAATTGATCTTGTTTACTGGAAGAGACGGTTTCTTCTAATAGGGAAAGACGCGTTGCAGTGAGTGGGCATTTTTGGCTGGTGGATCCGTTGCCAGGGGGCATTTATCCGCGGACGACCAAGCCAATTCACACAGCACAGATAGACGGCATAAAAGACACACAACAACTCTAACGAGCTCATCAGGGACCATTGCGCCTCTACGAATAGAAACAAGATTAATCATGCCCATGCTAACTTTAGCCCGTCGCGACTCGCTATTTCTAAGGGCTAAGCCCCGTCGCTAGGCCAGGACGCGTTCGCTAGTCGTCAGGCGCATAAACCTAGAGGGTGGAGACCCAGCGGTAATAGTGTCGTATGATGCAAGGTTTAAAGGTACAGAGTGCAGAGCATAGTGCGGCGAATATAATATATAGCGGCCGCGAGTCGTCGTCGTTATGCACGCCGCAGCCTTCGCCGCCCTCTAATGCCGCCTACTAGGCGAAGACCTAGCACAGGAAACGGCCGAGGACTAGTTATGGACTCACCTGCCCTGCCCTCCACCAGGCATAAGGCGCTGGGCTTATCATCACGCTTCGGGTCCGACCGAGTCTGTTGGCATAGATGGTCCGCGTTCTGACAGACAACTCTGGCCGCTCTATAGGCATCAGTGCTTCCGATTACACCCGGCCTTAGGTCTTGCCCTCCTCGTATTATATCTTTATAAGGGATGTTGCTACTCGTAAGGCTATAAGTTAGATGGACAGGGCGTGCATCTATTAGGCGAGGGGGAGCCGGCAGCATAAATTAAATTTTGACTTATACTATAACTGCCTAGAGGCCGCCGAACTAGCTAAACCCGTCGATGCACGCCGCCGGGACTAGAATAGCGCCTTAATCGTTATAATAACGAATAATTAATAATAAAGAGAAATAATCGCGCTAGTAAGAAGGCCTTTTAGAAATAAACCGTATAGTTAGTAATTTAGTAGCTAAGCCTAACCTCTTAGTATAAATTTATATTTATTTAGAAATCTTAATTTATTATTTAAAGCTTATATATAAAGGCTATTATAAGAATTTAGAACCTAAGGCTATTAACGCTTCTTAAGATCTTAAAAAGAGCCTATAGCTTAGTAATTAGTATTATAGGGTTAACTATTTTATAAGTATATAAGACTACTATATTAATTATATAAGGAAGCTTATAATTATCGCGAAGTATAGCTTAATTTTATAGTTCTTAGAGATATCTATAGGTAAGAGGGATCTAGGAAGCTTAAAGAAATACTAGTATATAAAGAAGAAAGAAGGAGCTAAAAGGAGGTATAAAAAGAAGGGTAAGGGAGAGAGGGGGAGTAAAAGTAGTAATAGCTTCCTATAAAAGTAGTAAGAGATAAGATAAAGGGGCTAGTAACGGCTAAAAAGGAGAGGAAAACCTAGTAAAAGGCTCGGTAGTTATAAGGGTATTAATAGTTTCTTTAAGTAAGATCCTCTTTATTAATTAGGATACTATAAAGATATAAATAAGAGCGTTAGATAAAGAAAAGAAGGATAAGTAAGGTAATATAATAATTATTTCCTTACTATAATTATTACCCTTATAAGAATTAAATAACTTTACCTTACTTATTAAACCTATAAGAGTCTTTAACTATTATAGGTTATAGGCTTAGGCTATAGCCTAAGCTATATAGTTATATATAGAGGGCCGGATCCTATATATATATATATAAGCTAGCTATATATAGAAGAACTCTATATAGATTATTAATATTATCTTATAAACGGCACCTATATATATACCTCTACTTACTTTATAATAATATAAGCTATTAACTAATAGATCTAATAGATATCTCTCTAAAGAGGGTACTACTTTCTTAATAGAGTATTCCGCCCCTCCTTAGATAGATAGGAAGTATTATAGCTATCCTAGAAGTAATTAAAAGTACGATAGCTAGAGAGAAAGATAAGGTTCTTACTAAATTAAAGGAGCTATCTATAAGACTAGCTTTAACCCTTATAACCTTTATAACGCTAATTATAGTAGGGATACTATTAATATAAAAGCTACTCCCTTAGCTAACTTAGGATAGTAAGCTAGAGTCCCTTTACTTCCTTCTTAGCCGGCTATAGATAAAGTTTATAACTAATAAGAAAGAAGGCTTAAAGAGCTATCGCGATATAGTATAGTATTTACTCCTCTATATACTACCGGAGCCTTAGATATAGTAGATCTCTAGATTCTATAATAAAGGCGGCCCTAAGGGTAGACGCGACTTATAGGACTTCTTTTAATACCTAATATATACGTCTAGTAATATATAAAAGTAGGAGAAAGTATAAGATAAGCTATAGACTTTTAAGTAAAGAGATAGATAAACTTTTAGCGAATTCCTCCTTAATTTTAAAGAGACGCTCTTATAAGTAGTAAGGACTATAGTATAGGAAGATAGCGCGAAGCTTATATAGCTTTAGAATTTAGTCTTATAGATAAAGACCTATTTATATCTTGCTCTTACTTTTTCCTTAAGGACCTCTTTAAAAGACCTTATCTCTTTATATAAAGCTAGGTAGTCTTTCTAGGCTTAGAAAAACTAATTTCTTAAGGGGTGTTTTTCTAGCTGCTTTTAGTTTACTAGTAGGTCCGGGAGGTCTCTTTTATATACCTTCCTTACTAATAGTAGCTTAAAAAGCCGGCCTACTATAAACGCTATATAGGAACCGTCTTCTATAGGCGTTAGATAGAAGTCGGAAAAACGATTAAAATAGGGGAGAGGTTAGTCTTCTTTAGTAACTATATCGGGCCTTATACCTTCCTTTACTTCTCGAAGTAGGGATAAAAAGGCAGCTAGGTAATCCTTTAAAATAAAAATAGGTGCCTTTCCTACCCCCTTAGGGGTTAAGATAGGAAGACTAACTAAAAAAGCTGCTTTTAGATCTTCTTCTTATATAGGAGGAGGCGTAGGGAGGTAGGTATATTCTAGCTCTACCGCTTTCCTATAGTCTCCTTCTTTATCTAGATTATTTAATCTAGTAGCTTCCTCTTCTTTAAAGTTAGCGTTATCCTCGACTACTTTAACGTTAGTTTCTTCTTCTATTTCCTTATCTAGGACCTCTTCTTAAGACTATTAAGAATAGGGGATTTAGATCTTTTAAATTAGCTAACGTTATAAGAGTAAGAGGGGCTATTAATCCCTCTTTCTATTAAAGAAGCTAGATTTATTAAAAATTATATCCCTAGTTAAAATAACCTTTTATAAAAGAGGAATCTAGATTTAAAAGATATTTATAGAATTATAACTAATAAGGTAACTAATAAAGGCTCTAGGATTAAGCTTTCTTTTCTTCTTCCTTTTTAGCTATATATCGGTAGTTATAGCGTATACCTTATAGCTATAGGTATAAAGGTAGGCTAGTAAAGCCCTCTTTTTCGTAAAGAGCTCGAGGGGGGATTTTTAGTTTATTCCTTAGGTAGTCCCTCTAGGGTCTAGTTCTATAAGTAATAGGCGGTCTTAATAACTTCCCTTTAAAGGTTATAAGTAAGCTTTATAGTAAGTCTTATTATATAGGCCCTTTCTATTATAGCACCCTTTAATCTTTCTACCCCTCCGTTCTAGGCCTAGGTATTTAATACTAATAGGAGGGCTAAAATACCCCTCTTTTAAAGCTAATTTAAGATATCCTTTATAAATAGCTCTCTATTAGACCGTATCTTCTTTACCTCGTAGCTAAAGTAGGATTTTATCTAGTTAACGAATTCTAAGAGGGTAGTCTAGTTATACTTACTTAGGTAGGTCTATAAGAAATAAGGGAAAACTATCCTTAAAAAAGCGTCTATTAAAAACATTACCCTAATAAAGCTTTCTTAATCCCTAGAAACGTTAGTTTAGTTAACCTAAATTTCCTTATATAGCTAGTCCGGCTATATAGGGGTCTATCTAGAAATTCGTCTCTTAGTCTTCCCTTAGCTATAGTATTTATATTCGACGGTCTTTAGTCCCCTTATTTATACGCCTTATTATTAGCCTAGCTTATATAAAGCTAGGGGGCCCGGGTAACTAAGTCGTGCGTACTAAAGAAGACCGTTTCCTTAGACTACTAAAAGAGGGTCCTTAGAATATACCCTCTTAGTAGGGAAAGCTAACTTCTTAAGTAGTTCCTTCTTATAAATAGGTTAGAATTCGAGAATAAATTAACCGAAATTTTCCTCGATAAGCTTAATCGTTTAATTCTTCTAGAC